CCTTCCAAAATCGCTTTCGATCACTTTTATTTTTTTTTCGTCTCACAGCATGCGGGAGTGCGAGCCTTCTCATCCATGTGCTCTTCCCTCAATATTCTCTTTTCATCGCTCAGTGTCTCACATTGCCTTGGCACTGCCGCGTTACAAAAAAGAGTAAACCCTTTATTCAAGCCTTTTTGGCGGACTATCTTTTTTCATCATTGCTGGTCCATTTCGCACCCCTGCTTTCATTTTCATGCACAAGATCACATCAGTTCTATCGCGGTGTGTGCCTTTAAGTAACACGACCTTTTGCTCTCAGCGAAACCTGGTTTGAGTGATCTAATTCCCTAGAACACAACCATAATGCCCATCCGTTAATAGAGAGAGCGAGTACATTAAGGAGATCTGCAACATAGTGCTTTGCTTTTCCTTTATCCTCGTCATCTCCGGACTCGGTCTGAGAAAACATGTTTGCTCAACTGGTTCCATGGATTTAGTTTCATGGCAAGAAAAGTGAGATCTCTCTCGGTTTACTCTTCGAACGTGGCTTCTTCTTCCTCACATCTTTCCTCACAATTCCTATCAGGGTAGGCAGTCTTAATTTTTTCATTGCATTTTGGGATGCGGTAGATAGCAGTTAACTATGAGAAGTAATGTATTATTGGCCCTGAGATGATTGGTAAATTTCAATATTCTATTCGATTAATGCCCGAGCTGTTCTTGAACTGGATTGGTTGTCGTTAATTTATCCAGAGATACAAGGACATTGCTGCTGCAACACAGATATTTCAAATGTCCCTTTTTTATGAACCGGCTAAGCCTCAAGAAAATCGCTCCAGGTTGAGAGATTGTCATATTCCCCGAAGTACCTGCCCCCTCCTAGGCTTGTCTTAGGCTTAGTCCTAAGAGATGCCCCTGTGTCTTGCGATAGCGCCATTCTTTGTAGTTTGCACTTTGAAAGCGTCCTTCTCGATAGAAGATGGAAATGGCCGTGATTTTTGACGTTTGCAGTTTTTAGTTTCAATGCACTTGTTTCTTCTCAACACTAATCCGGGTGCCGCTTTGAGATCAATCACATCTACGCAACGCCTATTTTGTTGGCAAAATGGCACGAGAAAATGGGAAACCCCTTATTCTATAGTTGTTTTCGTCTTTCATGAAGACAAAGGACTTACGTCACCACAAACATCAAGTTGTAGCTTTGCGTTTTGTTAGAATCACTGCTTCCTCCCTGTACATCTACTAGGTCTATCGACGATTCCACATGATGGAGAGGAGGGGTTGCTCTTCTTTTTAGTTTAGTTTTTCAAACTCGTTCGATCTAGTTATTGTGAGAGATATACTCGATATCTAAGAGTTGGGGTAGGCGTGTCACCGGAAGTGACGTGCACTTGATAGAAGCTACGTGGATAAGCTGCTTCCAACATACATCGCTAGCCAGAAAGCTGTCAAGAGTTCCTGAAGTCTTACTGCACTCTAATGGATGGGCATATTTTACGTTCGCACTTATGGGAGTAATTGATCAGTTGTTTTTCTGATATAATGAAATACAGTGAAGAAACGGCGCAAACTAATGAGATTCTCGTCGATTTGGAGCGAAAACTTTGCCAATGCTATTGGTGCAATGCAACTTCAAGTGTTTCTAGTAGTTCTACGCTTTCTCTGATTGTCGGTTGACCAGTCACCTTACCTTCTTCCATTTTCCATATAGATGTCGCGCTCCCCGTAAGAGCTACATAACCTTAATATCTTAAGGTTATGTAGCTCTTGAGTGTCGTCAGGCTAATAGCAGTGATTTGTCTTGTGCTTTATATTTTTCCATCATTATTTATACCAGTTGGCGCCGCACGCATTGCGCGCGCAACACAGATCTGTGGCGAATTTTGATGGTGCGACGAAAAATTTCAAATTTGGCTTGATACAATACGAATATCTGAATTCTCCGCTAAATTCTATGCGCTCTTTCTTCGTCAACCATTATCCTATTTTTCTCGGTCCTCGGCCCGGACAATAAATCTCGTGGCGAACTCCGTCTACTTCGGTGCGTGCCCTGCCGACCAATAGCATTTGGCTCCCTTCTTTTCGCCGACCTCTACCCCCTTTTTCACCGGTCTCTGGGACCTCTTGGAACCAAATTACGACACTTTTGGCAAACTCCGCCCACTTAGGTGCGTGCTCTACCCACTAATAGCATTTGACCTCCTTTCCTTCGCCAACCTCCTTTTTCCCAGCCTCCTGGACTTCTTGGGGCCGAGTTATGAATTTTCGTCGCAAACTCCGCCCACTTTGGTCATGTCCCTCCCACCATTGACAGCTGGCCTCCACTCCTCCACCCACCTCCATCCACCTTTTCCGCGGCCTCAGGGACTTCTTGGAGCCAAGTCATGAATTTTCGTCGCAAACTCCGCCCACTTTGGTCAAGCCCCGCCCACCATTGACAGCTGGCCTCCACTCCTCCACCCACCTCTATCCACCTTTTCCCAGCCTCCGGGACTTCTTGGAGCCGAGTTTTATATTTTCGTCGCAAACTCCGCCCACTTTGGTCAGGCCCCGCCCACCAATGACAATTAACCTCCACTCCTCCCCCCACCTCCATCCACCTTTTCCCCAGCCTCCGGGACTTCTTGGAGCCGAGTTTTATATTTTCGTCGCAAACTCCGCCCACTTTGGTCAGGCCCCGCCCACCAATGACAATTAACCTCCACTCCTCCACCCACCTCTATCCACCTTTTCCCCAGCCTCCGGAGCTTCATGGAGCCGAGTTATAAATTTTCGTCGCAAACTCCGCCCACTTTGGTCAGGCCCCGCCCACCAATGACAATTAACCTCCACTCCTCCACCCACCTCTATCCACCTTTTCCCCAGCCTCCGGAGCTTCATGGAGCCGAGTTATAAATTTTCGTCGCAAACTCCGCCCACTTTGGTCAGGCCCCGCCCACCAATGACAATTAACCTCCACTCCTCCACCCACCTCTATCCACCTTTTCCCCAGCCTCCGGAGCTTCATGGAGCCGAGTTATAAATTTTCGTCGCAAACTCCGCCCACTTTGGTCAGGCCCCGCCCACCAATGACATTAACCTCCACTCCTCCACCCACCTCTATCCACCTTTTCCCCAGCCTCCGGAGCTTCATGGAGCCGAGTTATAAATTTTCGTCGCAAACTCCGCCCACTTTGGTCAGCCCCGCCCACCATTGATAGCTGGCCTCCACTCCTCCATACACCTCTATCCACCTTTTTCCGGCTCTTTAGGACTTCCCCGACCCGAATTATGAGGGCTTGTAGAAAATGCTGTACACTTCAGAGCGCGCCCCGCCCATTCTGGGCAGGCCTCCGCCCACGTCATGTATGCGGGAAACACCTTAGACATTGCTCCCTTACACCGAATTGTTTTCTGCTCTGTAGGCTTTCTCCCAACCGAGTTATGAAATTTTTCATAAAGCACTGCTTTTTTAGAGAACGCCCCGCCCACCGGGGGTGGGTCTCCCTAATTCGATGTTACTTACCAATGCACACCTTAGCCCACTTTTTGGCCCAGTTTCGAGGTCGTTTTGTCACTGAAATCGAAATCTTGGTCTTTGGTACAATTCATTTCGACGCACGCCACGCCCTCTGTGGGCGGGGCTCCGCTTAGCTGATGTGTGTTTTGTATTACGTGAGACCCTGCCCACCCATCCCACACTTGACCCGGTCCCTCCAGGCGGATCCCGAGGAGCTAGGGAATTTCGTGACAGACATACAGAACGACAGAGGGACAGAACGACAGACAGAGACGACAGAACGACAGACGAAGCGCTTTATAGTAAGTAGGATTATAGATAACTAATTCTATGGCAAATGATTTGATTAACCCTGTTGGCAATGCCTGCAGTGCAAGAGAAAAGTCATGTCAAACACTGCCTAGAATATGACTTAAAACTGCCTCTTTTCTCTTCTTTTTCAGCAAGCCCGGCTGCGTGTAAGTGCTGCACCAAGTTGTGCTCAAAAGCATAAAATTTGTGTGCGATTCTGTAAAGTGAAGACCTCTCTTCCTTTCTTCTAATTGTCATTTTTCAGTCTGATCCGTCGAAGCAGCCGTAACTACTTTCGTCAAACATCCGAAATGCGTGACAAGCTCCCTCGACCACCGCAGGAGTTCTACGAGCCAAATGAATTGCCGGAGATTCCACAACATCTGCAGCCAGAGCTCTTTTACATTCTTCATAACTTGAAGTACGTTATTCTCGTCAAATTCGGGTGTAGTTTATTTGCAGTTGGAAAACTTATGCTTATTGTCGGACACATGAGGACATATGAAGTGGTTTCTCGATTACACCTAGATTCGGGTGTCACCCAAGAGGCCCGTCGCGCGGCGAAGGAAGAGACGCAGATGCGGCAATGGACGAGCCGCAGCGATATGAGACGTAGTATGGTACACTCTATTTAACCTGACGCGCTACAGTATGCGCTGCGACTCGTCCTTTGCCGCGTCTGCGTCTCTTCCTTCGCCGCGCGATGGGCCTCTTGGGGGCCACCCCCTAGATTTCAACTGAGTACGTGATCGTTGATCGGGGAGTGAAACGCTCGGAAGAGTCCCATGAATCGAACGTGGTCGATGGAATTTTCTAAGTAGCTCATTTCAGAATGTTGGAGCTGCCAGCTGAGTGGAAGTTGGATCCACGCGATATCGATGTCAGAACTTTCGATCGAGGCGACGTCATTGTACGACCTGGAGAACCTGACGACAGCATTTATGTGGCGATCGAAGGAACGTTGGCTGTTTATATAGCGGTTAGTTACCTCCCTGTAACTTCTTTTCCGATTCTTTGACGACGATAATTTATAAGTTGTTCCGAATGGGTCATTCCATGGATTGGGTTGAGCCGGATATCAGACTTGGTACATTTTTCGAAGCGAATATAAACTCAATGTGAACACGGCTGACACCTGAAAAACGTTCTAGCTCCAAGCTGTCAAAATTTCAAAAAGTGAAATTGCCAGTCCTCATCAACATTTTGAACTAAGAAGTGAAGTCCTATTTGGTTTTCATTGGTCACGAAGAAGAAAGGCTGTGAAATACTGAAAAAGTCTTCGATTTATTTCTTAGCTATGTTCCCTACACCTTTTTTGAAGTTCCGATGTCAAGCGCAATTCAGTAACAGGCCCAAATAAATGGTTTATGGTTGAGCATGGCTTCTCGATTAGACCTCTTCGTGCTAACTTTCGTCGTCCATTGAATCGTAGACATTGCTGACATCAGTCCTATGGTCCGTGTTCGGAAGAATGTTCATTTTTTGAGATCCCTTTTTTTCAGCATAAGGAAGGCAAAGATTACTTAGTAAAGAAGATTCCACCAGGGAACAGCTTCTTTTCGCTGCTCTCGATGCTTGATGTATTAATGGTTTGTTTTATTACCTGTTTGCTTACTAATATGCTTTAACGAGCAACTCTTTATATTCTTCGTATATGCAGTTTGAGTTATTCAAAAGCAGCGGCATTTTTTCAGAATGCTCCATCATTTTTCAAGACCGTTTCTCTCAAAGCTGCTGATCCTTGTACTGTTGCGAAGTGAGTTTTCAAGCTAAAACAACAGCGAGAATGTTCGTGAAGAAAAAATCCCTTTTCCTAGAATAGTGAACCCATATACTCCCAATCTCATTTCTCTAACCTCCCCTTTCCCACGAAACTGGCTCCCAAAAGCGAATTGGGCAAAATGTCCTCGCACTATGAAGAAAGTAGACGAAACTGACATGATCTGTCACAGGAAATATAACCTTTCACTCACGGTTTAGACGTATTCGTTCTGGTGATGGCTCAGATCGAGCGAAAAGTTTCGCAAATAGCAACTTTCTGTGCAGTCTCTGACCTTGGTATTTAAGGTGATATGCAGGGGTTTCTTTGAAAGCAGCTGGTGCGATAATAACAGGACTAAAAGAAGCGAGAATATGTCTGTATCAAAGGGGGAGCCGCGGCTATCATAAGAAGGAATCGTTGAAGTCATCAGCACAGACGAAGAGCGCCCTGGACAAATCAAAGTGAGTGCACTCAAAGACAGCGTACCTTGCGACCGTGTTGGGATTAACGTTAGGGAGAAGAAGGGGGGGGGTGTGGGTCCCTCATAGAGGAATGACGAGAGGTTTTGCTGCGGAGAGTGTGGCCGTTGCGGCCCAACAGGGCCCTGGCCGTGGCGATGGATTCTGTGAGCTGCTGTTCATAACCACCGTTGGTTACCCAGCTGTCCATCCCTCGTCTTGTTGTAACTCTAGCCCTTTCCTCAGAGAATCAGAGCAATGCTTTTAAGTTGATGACCCGATGAGACTCGTCGAACGTGGAAATCGGCGCTAAAAAGCAATGGTCACATTGGGAGAGTCTTGGGTCATTTCCCTCAGTTTCACTGCCGCACCTCTTCAGCTCTACTTTCTTTTCGAGCGGGTGTACAATTTATCATACCGTCTGCCTTTAAGTGCCATACGCCTGCTCACTATAGGTCCTAGTATGTAAAGTGCTGTTTTTCCAACGGGTTTCGTTAGGATCCTACATTGGTTGGAAAATCAAAACGTTTAGATACGGTAGTGAAAAGGTAAACTGCAAATGAGGTTGTTGGACATATTTTGCAGTGCTTGGTGGGTTACCGTAGCTTTTTATGCGAAAAGTATAATGATTACGATTTGATGTCTATTATGCGCGTCGCGAACACCAGCTGTTTTAGAAAAAGCCCGAAAATGATGTTGTAAAGCAATAATTTGACTTCCTCCTGCCTCATCCAAATCTTCTTTGTTGGTGAGGAAGGAAAGAGGAGCAGGGGAGGTAGTGAGGTTTTCAACCCTTTACACTTCCACCAAATTCCAATTTTTACGGCGTTTCGAACAATTCACGGATCATAACAAATGCCGTATGGCTTTTCACCTCGCTTTATACATAATAAGAGATGGAATCATACTGTTCAATATATAATTGGACTATTTATTGCACTCGAAGTTCTTTTATTTCCATTTTTATTTTGATTGAAAGGTTGTTTTTGGAACTCGACGTCATTGTATGTACTTATTAAGGCGACTGAATCGTCCTTCAAATCCCACCCCCTCTCAAAAAATTTAATAAGTACACACAATAATATCGAGTTCCATAAACAACCTCTCAATCGAAATAAAAAAGAAAATAAAGGAACTTTTTTTCGTTTCAATAATAAGAGATGGGAAATATTCGATGGAAGTGGAATGTTCAGTGATGTTCCCAATTATTGCAATTATTATGCTCAAAGGAGCAACTTCAGGTTTCCAATAAGAAGCTTCCGCGATTCGTACAACAAATATCCGGAAGCATGGATGAGACCGATTCAGATTGTTCTCACACGATTACTTCACGTAACAATGACTACATTACATCAGTATATGGGTCTAAGCCAAGAGTTGATGAAAAGAGTAAGTGAATTCAGTAATGATGTTTCACGGTAAGGGATTAGAGCTTGTAGGAGTTGGCTTCAGGTGCACTATCGAAAAAGGACAGTAACCTTTGCTAGTACTATCTCTTGCCTGGTTATTGACCGTGTTTATGTACTTATTATTTCCAGCGACGTGACACAGCAGGACCAGAAGATCGTGCACGTCATCCTAGTGGTCCTGTACGATCAACCCAGACGGCAATAACGTCCTCACATACTGGGCATAAGAAAATCAAGGAACCGCGTTTGAGTAGTTCGGATGGTGAGTTTAGCCGGACCAATTCAACGTAGTGCGTTTCAGGGTACTTGATAAGAAAATTCTTAGGGGAGGTGCGAATACCTCCTCAGAACGGCTGTTCTTCACTTCTTCTTGTAAAGGTGTGCAAGCACTCGCAGCACGTAATCGACTCCCTCATAAATTGTGTATAGGCCACTTGTGATTACTAGGTTCCTCTACAATTACGAGGAAAAGTCGATCATGTGGGCGTTCAAAGGAAGAATTCACGATAAGAACGAAGGTCAAAGAAGGGAAATTGTAGTTGGGAGACAGGCGGACCTCCTGAGGGTGCTGACCGACGCGCAATTGGCAGCGAAAGATTTGACCTCGGCGATCTAGCATGGCTCACTCTTGGCGCGGTTGGCGGGTACGCCCACCGACTATCTAATCACTCGCCGCAGGTCTATACGTGGCGAGTGATTAGATAGCTGAGAGAGCGTAGTGTTGAAGAGGGCACAGCGATGAGAGTCGCATCAATGCGCAAATCAACGGGCAAGGAAGGGGTCCCATTTCTCGTTTCAAATGATGGTTTTTCATCCCTGCTCCACTCTTCCCTTATTTCCAATAGCTAACTTTTCATCGTAAATTCTGCCTTCAAAGAAAAGGTCTTAGATAGGCACAGCCGATTGTGTTGTCGCTCATCACTTTGTCGCTTACACTTGAAGAAAACCGTGAAGGAGATCAGCGTTAATCAAATCCTATGGGCTACGTTTTACCCTCGATATCAGTTGAGCATTGCTAAAACATTCAGACATGTGTTTGTACTGTGAAATGACTTTCGAATGCTCATCGGTGTGAAAAAACCGTGATTCGATACTGAGGCAGGGCCTTTCTCTTCACCTGTGTTCAGATACGAAATAGGCTGACTTTAGGTGATGGAGTTCTTGGTGTGCTTTTGCGGGGTCCAGTCCGTTGGCCGCGCATAATGCAGCAATTTTTGCCATTATCCCCTTCTCCATCTTCGGATTATCATTAATAAGGTCCAGATTTGATAGAAATCATTTTTCTATTAGAAGCAATTTTAGAAATAAGTGAACAGCTCATTGTTGCTCGACGATGGTTCGCTGACGCGTTAGGGTTGGTGGGACCTGACGGACCATCACTGATAGAGCAAAAGGTTTGGTTATTGTTTGAAAGTGATACTATTGGAGTACTCGTGTTGTTGTGAAGACAGATCATCTTTATAGGGTGACATAATCATTCGTACTTTCGAAGAAGGTGATGTACTGGTTGAACAAGGTGCGGAAGAGGAACGGCTTATTCTGGTGTTGTCCGGGTCGCTGAAGCTTCTTCAGGTTGGTCAGATTAATTGAAAGATCAGGATCCGTACAAGTCTTAAATGTGATGACGGAAGTGGAACTACTTCCTCGCTCCTCCCCTTCGATATTTTTGAGTAAAAGTGTTTTTTGTGTCCTTCGTAAAGTGTGGCACTGTTTGTTGCAGGAACCTGTCTTTGATGAGGAGCCACAAGAAGAAGGTGATAATACAATATCTAAGTTGCTGCCCCGAGACTTGGTCGGAGGTCTTCACATCCTCACTTGTGAACCTTCGTTCTATACCGTGACCGCTAATAGCAGAGCTACTGTGGCGATTCTTGGCAAGGCAGAGTTTCAGCGGTGAGTGTTATGATATGATCATTATATGCGGTCCGTTATTGTTACACATGCTGCAAACAGCTTCAGTAGCCTCCCAATGTTATAAAACTACAGGATCGAACATTGAGACGATATATGAATTAGTACTTCAAAATTATTTTCAGCCTCTTGGAAGCGCGTCCGCATATCTACCTGCCAGTTGCGCATTCGGTGTTACGCCGGCTGTCACCTTTCCTTCGTTGTGTCGACTTTGCATTAGATTGGGTGCTCGTGGATTCCGGATTGACTGTCTACAGGTACTTTATTCATCGTCCTTGCATTCCTATGCAGTTAGATAGCTCTTAAAGTGTGACACCAGCGGAATGCCCTTACATAGCGTTCTTGGAGTTTTACCATTAGTAGCACCCAAATTTGTAGGACAAAAAAGCAGGTAAGTATCAGGAGCTTTTGGCAGGAGTGGACATTTGATAATTATTTGTTTTTTTTTTGTAGCGTCTGGCTCTGCCCATTACCGTACCCACTTTTGGCCAAGCTGTGCATGCCTTGAGTGAAACGCGTGTCCCTTCATATATTCAAGGGAAAATGCAGGTTTTGGCTGTTTTTACAGGGTTTTTGGG